CATTTAAGTTTAATAGATTTTTGTCCTAAAAGGAACAGAATTCCCGGTTGCATGTAGACTGTAGGATTTTTCTGAATTAATTTCTCCTTCAAATCCCATAGCAGTAGATAAATATATCCAATCTTGACCAAAGAATCTGGGTATGTGAAATCCATTAAAAGCTTGGTGTGATGATCGTGGTGGTTGCTTCTTACTAGTTAATGAGACTCTGAATATTATGAATGTAAATGCTGGAGAGGGTGCAAGTGGAAGAGATCTTAAAGCAGCCAGCCCACATACTCACCCTGAACAGCCTCTCCAGAATCCTGGTATAGGTGAGCATTGGTCTCATCCAGCAATTGTGGATTTTGTTGCATATCTGTAAAATGAAGGGTATCTTATGTCAAACAATTGGACTAGCTTCCGATTTTAGCCACGGCATCTTGTTATCTATTTGAGAAGCTCTTTTTCCTGTTTCTAAATATGGGCTTTTTTTGTGTTTTTTCTGTGTCCCCTCCTCTCCCCTCCCACCTTCCCAGCAGCAGTGTTGGATTGCATCTGCACTGGTAAGCAGCCTCAGTGACACAGCCTTTTTGTTATTTTTTGCTCTTTCAGTCTTTATGTTCTGCAAACTTAGTGACTTTTCTTCCAAGTCAGAGTGAAATGGTAGAGGGCCACGAACCAACACTTGGTGGACCCCCCTAGCTATGTTCTTGGTAGTCAAGTGATACTAATGCTTCAATAGCTATGACTTTTTTTTTTTTTTTGATAATGCTTGTGAAAATATGTGGTGCCAGACCAAACATGCTACATAAATCCAAAAATATTTTATTGAACCCACTACCGTTGTTCATCAAACTGGTAGTCTCATAAAAGTAAAGTAGGGTATGGGGGAGTTTTTTGTTTTGGTTTTTGTTTTTGTAAGCCCCTGTTGACAGATACTGGTTTTACTCTTAATTCTTCAGTTGTCAAGTTCTCTATGGGCTGCTCCTTTGTTTCTGAAAATTGATATCAAATTGAGACCCCAGTAATTTTCAGTTGAGCGTTTTGACGTTTCAGGGGCATATTTTCTTTTACCAGTCCCTTTGAACTTGCTCATTATTTCAGTGCTTTCTGTAATTGAACACTGCTTCAAATATTTCTTGATCAGCTCCCAGAAAACTAGCATTTTAAGACTGTCAATTTATAAATGTTAAGTAACACCTACTTGTTTAGTTCTGTTGAATGATCGTATGTCATTGCATTGAATGCTTGTTAATATACTACCAGATTCCTCTGTTTTTTTAAGCTAACATGCATATGTGCCACCTTCTTGGTTTCAGCTTTGCTCACCCTAGATTTTCATGTGTATCTTTGCTCAGATTCCTGACCGCTTCTGAATTGTGATTTCTGTTCTTCTCTGTGGATCCCCACAGCTTCTCATTTTGTCTCCTTTTGGACCTTGTTTTTATTAATAGAACAGATTTTTTTATACCCTGAAAGCAACATCAGGGATATATAGTAAAAAGTTCTGAAACAGTTAATTGTCTGCATCTTTGTAGAAATTTATTATCATCTCCCTTGGCTCAATTATTTTTAGATGTTTTCAAGTTGGTCTTTTAAAGTGCAAAATGTAAACATCTCAGGTTGATATTTACTATAAATATAGTGGAGGAGTTGGTTGTCTTGTTTTCTCATGGGACATTGTCTATAATATCCAGTAAACTTAACTGTCACCCTCGCTAGCACTTATTTATCTTTATCTGTAAATATCAAATCATAAACTAGATCTCAAAATTACATTTGTAGGGCTGAACAGCAGATGCATTTTACGTTTATTTTTATTTCTCTTTTCATGGTCCTTGTGGCGTTGACCTTTTTTGAGTCATTTAACAATAGTAAAGATGAGTTTCAATGTTTGTTTCCCACACCAAATATAATTTGGCTTCTGATAAGTGACACATACTTTACTACTTTGGCTAGCTACATGGTTGGAATGGGAATATGTAGTGACTATTAAAGAGTATGTTTGAGCTGTGCTGTTGGGGCTGCAGCAGAGGGGTTGAATGTTTGAAATTCAGCCATGGCAGAGGCAGTTCAGAAGTATCTCCCCGTTTCCTTCATAAGAAGATTTGAAGAGAGTGATATTGGTGTATTCATATTGCTGGAGATTAGTTGGTGTCGCCCTTTCTCAGCTGCCCAAGCGCAAGTAGCCCTGAAAACAGCAGCAAAGCCATCAGACTGTTTCCCTCCAGTTCTCATCTTGAGACAGAGCAGCTGTAAGTCTCCCTGCTTCTGTTGTACTAACTTGTCAGAGAAAAATAAATTAGTAAGTAAGCTCCACAGGTGGCAATAGCACAAGAGAGCAGACGTCAAAAGCCGCAGCGTGTTTGGGTGATGGTGTTTGGGCTCCTGGGAACACCCTCCTGCAGCGCGGGAGCTGCGAGGAAGGCTGCAGAGCATCAGCTTTCCCTTTGCGTGTAGTGACAAAGGAAAAGGAGGAGAGGTAAAGAACTTGATCTCTATCTTTGATGCAACTTTCATGTGAGTAGTAACGTGCCAAAGTGTCCCTTTTATGTGCCTTTAGTGAAGGGTTGGCTGATTACACTGCCAGTGCTCTTTGGAGGAATCCTGTGTCTCCTTTTCTCAGTGCGTTTCCATTTCTAAGCCTGTGCTTGAATGAAGGAGGTTCTGCCTCCATAGCCTCTCACAGAACAGCATTCATCTCTGATCAGGACTTGGTCCTCAGATGTTTTTCTTGGATAAAGTCTCTTCCCAAAAGAGGACCTTGTGAGAAGTGAGGCTTTACCTGGAGCTGTCTTCTTGCTGCAATACTGCGTGTAATACCCTGCAAGTCCCCAAAGCTCAGCTGACCCTTCATGGCTCCTCATGGTGTGAGGATGGGGCTGGGAACTTGGTTAGATCTTTGTCTCTACTTGGAGTGATGACAGTCCTGGCTAGATGCCAACTGTTTTGGAGCTAGTTTCTGTCTGAAGTGTTAGAAAAGTTAAATAGTTGATAGTAATCCCAGCTTGATTATTTTCTACCCCTTCCTCTGTAAGGAGGCAAGTCAGGATTGATCCCTTTTGCTTCTCTCCCTCTCCCAACTCCTGACATATGTATTTACTGGCCAGTTTCATCTGAACTTAACAAAGCAGTAACAATTAAATAGCTCAAAGCTTTCCCCAAGTTTTACCATCTGTAAGGGGTAAGTACTGAATAGCAACCCAATTGTAAGGCTTCCACCGAGGGGAAAACCTCGGACTGAGCTTAATTTTCCTTCGTTGGCTTTTGCTGTCTGAGCAGTCAGTGCATGCACATGTGCCACGTGTGTGCACACACCTCGACCCCTGTCTGCACAAGTCAAACTTTGGATGACCCTTGAAGTCCATCCTTCCATCCTGGGCATCACGGGAGGCAAAGGCGCAGCGTGGGGTGGAAGGTGCTGTGTGCACGGGGGGACTGGGAGACACTTCAAGGCGAAAGAAGGCACAAGGATCCACTGGAATCTTTTGCAAAGCTTCATGAACTGTTGTTTTCTTGAGCAGTGTTCGGTTTTAAACTTCAACTAAATCTTGTTGGTTATGATTTAAAGTATTTTCATCCTCCCGTCTGTAACCAAACACCAGAAATGAGAGCAGAACAAAATTATTTAGGTGTAGAGGAAAAACTCTGGTGAAATTTGACCGTATTGAAAACAGAACAGTTGACTCATTTTGTTTGGGTTTCTGTGCTTGTTGCTGTTAGCATAAGAATGGTGCATCTGTACTCTGACTTTTGTCATTTGACGGAATATTCTAAGTGCCACTTTATTTTTAGAATTAATAATTATGTAATAATATAAACAGTTATGAAAATGTTTCAGGCTTGCTTTAGTGCTAAGTGCTTTCTTTGTTCTTTTGGTTTAGGCTTTTTTTTTTCTTTATTTTAACTAATTCCTCTCTTCCAAGATACAGCAGATGGATTTTTAATTCTATAGAATACAACATTCACAATGCTCCAGACATCTGGCGGTGTTACTGACAAAAAAAAAAAAAAAAGTTTTTCATTTATAGAACAGTGGTAGCACTGTAAGGGTTTTCAGCCGTATGGCTACTGTAATTGCAAAGAACCTCTCTAAAAGATAAACCACCAAAATACTGGGATCTTCTCCTTTCTTTTTATTGTGCTATTCCTACAACTTGTCCATCGGTCCTGCTCTTCAGCTGCTGCAAAGTGTCAAATGTCAAAATATAGATGATGAAGCTGTAAAAACAAGGAGTTTAGCAGCAGCAGCCATGTGAATTTCTGTTCCACTTAAAATATGGAAAACATCGTCTGCCAAATGGCAAAGGACAATTGGTAGAAAAAGCAATGTTCTGTGCAGCCTTCTAAGAGCAGTGACAATGGAGAGAAGAAAAATATAGAAAGGAGGCAGTTCCATTTACAAGACTTTGTTTTCAATATGTTGTGCATGATTAACTATACACAGTTTCTCCTTTGGAGTCTTGGATGACTGGATATTACATGGTAGGGCTGACACTGACCTGACTGCATTGCACTCTGCATTTTGTGGGGGGAACGGGGCGTCTTGGTGGTTCTGCCAGTCTTTAGTGTAATTTTTGAATACATTCATGCTTCCCTTATTTGCCTTTTTTAATGTCAAGCATTGCACATAAGATGTTCTGCTGTTGCTATGCAACTGCTAAATCCAATATTTAATATTAATAAAAAACTGAGTGGCATTAGCATCACTGAGAACAGTGGGCTAGCAAACTCTGGTTGTACAATATCCAAGCTGCAAAACTTGGCAGGGATTTCATTGTGCTATTGCACGCATGGCAAACTGGGGGGCATGAGTCACTGGCAGATGCTATTTTAAGTGTGGGGAATTTGAGTAAAATTTTTGAGCTCTTTTGGCTTATAACAATGAGAGAGGCTGGCTACTCTTGTTGTACTTCAAGCTGCATTTCAGTTATGAATTTTGAGGGGTGACTACCCATAAAAGTGTCAGCGTTATAAACCTCTGGGTCAATACCCTGATTCTCCTATTTTTCTTCTAGGTCAGGTTGATCGGCCCTTTCCCACTGTTCCTGCCACTTCCTGAAGCCTGAATTGGCTTTTTTGGGAGGCAGTGCTACTTCTCTGCCTGACAAGGTGCTGTTCAGTAGGATTTTTTTTTTCCGGGTTCTCCTTTCACAAATTGCTCTCTAATCTCTCCCCTATTTCTTTTTGCTCTTGATTGTTACTTCCCCCTAACTCTTGCATGTTTTTAGTGTGTTCCCCACTCGGTGCTATTTACAATCAGATTTTTAGCATCGGTCTTTGCTAGATGTTATATCAAAGCTTGTGTTATGCCCTGGCAAAGCTTTTGGCCATTTTAACTAGTGTTACAGGCTAAAAATTCAGTAGGGTCCAGCATCTGTCATCTAATGATGTTAGTGCACTGGAACTCTTGCTGACACCCAGTGGGGGATAATGCTACTTGTCCTTTCCTTCTGAAGATGAGACTGCTGTCTGAATGATAACTGCAATATTAGATTTGTATTAGTCAGGGTTATTTTAGAATTATTGCTGTTTTGCAATGTAATAATTGATTTCTCTCACCACATGTGCTTAGTTTTAGCCTGGTTTCTTAAAAAGGCTCTTTCAGGTAGTTTATACGTCCCTGATTCACCCATACAAGTTTCTCCAAGGTTAAAGCTTTCATTTCTTTAAAAAGAAAAAAAAAATCTGTTATTTCTTTCTCTGCCTCTCAGAGATCCAGGGAAGTAGGAGAAGTTGGCTTACCAGCTAGATGCAAACTGTTATAAAACATACAAAGCAGAAGTATTGGGCAGAGTGGGGGGATAAATACATACACAGAGGGAGTGAGAAAATCTTGAGTTTTGTAGCCATATTAGGGAATACATTTTTATGGGCAGGTGGAATTTGTCTGTCCCCTTTAAAATAGTCTTTGCACTTTTCATATTCACTCTGTTAACTTGTCTTCTCACAGTATTGGGTAGTTAATGGGTCTGTAGATTTTATTCCCAGCAGGGGTTTAGTGTAATATTGATTTAACATTTCCAAATAATGGCAGTAATTTTGAGAAAGGTTTTACTCTTTTGGAATAAACTAAAATGGGTTAGATTAAGTGAGACATAAATCATGACATTGAAGTAAATCAAACTGTGTATGTTAGATGCAGCTCTATGGCATGAGCAGTATCGTGATTGGTATTTGATTCCTTAAGGAAATGGCATTGCTCAATCTTTCCTTAGTATTTTCTCTTTGAAAATGTGCAACTTTTCAGGAAGAAAAAATGATCCTAAAACTTCCTGAAATTCAGAAAATTAACTGAGTGCCAATCGGAGGTGGAAGAGAAATTTTAAATAATTACAATGATGATTTAATTGGGAAAGCTTACATTATTTCAGTTTGGAGGCTTAAGCAAGAGAATCTTCTCCTACAGAAATTACCTGGCATTGAGAAGCATATTGTAGAAGCTATAACTTGCCCTTTTCTTTTCCAATTGGTTTATTTCAATGTTGTAACTCTGTTTTTACCTAGCTATTTACAGAAGTGCACGAGTCAGCGGGCTCTAGGTTCTGCTGTGGTTTGTCAGGAGTTCAGTCATCACGACTGACCCCTGCATCTTGTAATACTAAGAGAAAACACGTTGAGCTGTGTTCTTGGAACAGATAAATATAGAACTGCTGTTGTGAATATTCTTGTAGTGACGTGCTTGATCTAGAAAGCTAACAATTCTTTTATTTGCTTTTAGGGTTTGAAAGTATTCTAGAAGGCCTGTTTGGACCCGGATTATTAAAAGATCTCAGTTTGTTTAAAGGTATTCAATCTCTCTGTTTGTATCTTGTTCTGCATTTCTAATGACAGAAGCAGCCCCAGCTCTGCCTCTAGAAAATGTGTGTTACCGTGGTGATTTGTGCTTCCCCCCCCTCCCCCAGGCAGTGCTCCCAGTTAGTTTCATATTGGCTAAAATTACTAATGAGTGTGCGTTCATCTTTATGTAGCTGGGAGTGTATTTGGCAGTGCTCAGAAAAAACAGATTTGTTGTGCACAGATCAAATGCATACAGTTTGGTAATCTGGGGATTTAGAAATATGGCCGAAATGAAGCTTGCAGCTTCAGAATGCAGGCGAGACTGTTGTGAAGCAGGTATTTAATTTGGCATTTCTCTTTTGGCTCCAGTTATGTCGCGGTTTATGAATATGAAGTAATCTGCTATTCCTCTGATTTACAGACTGTGAGCCTGAAGGTGTTTCTGATTGGTCTTTTGATGAAAATTGTCTTTTCTGCTGCCTGAGAAGAGAAAAAGTGAAGGTAACAATGCAGATGTGTGAAGCTGGCAGTTGTAGGGGAGGGACAAGGTGGGGGGAGTTTGCTGCTCCTGGTGAACCGAACGCAGAAGATCTGCAACCTCCTACCCTTGGGAACAGGTTTTATGAATAAAATAATTCAGTTAATGGACAGAGACTTTCCTCTTCTACTTTCCTGGGTGGTATGTAAGGTGGATTTTTCTGTGCAGTGGCTCTTCATGATTTATTTTTATTTATTTAGAGTTCTTTGTAAGAGAGATCTTGTAGGGATCATGTAACTCTCTGCTGAGGAGGGCAAACTGTGACTTATATGCCTCTACTACAATCAGAGACTGGCCTTCTCTTGCTATGGAAATGTGGTCTGTTTTAACAACTGAGTCGTGTTCCATATCTTAGAATCTCTTCTCCCTTTGGGCCATGTCCTTTTGTTAAAAGGCTCATATTTGGCAACGTTTTTACTTGTTTATAACCAGGTCACAGCCTAAACGTGGGCAAGTCAGCTTGGCTGCTGTAGTGCACTTGCAGCCTGTGCTTTTAGATTATAGCTGTACGTGAAGCAGTGGCCAACACGCTACACGTCACCGTTGCTCATCCCGTGTGTTGCAGTAATGACTGCTCTGCAGCATAGCGAGGGAGGCTCAGCAGTCTGGGAGAAACTTCAGTTGCTTGGAAGGCTTGGGGACTGCTGCTTCCTGCACGAGGTAATGTGATATGCAGGCTGGATCTCTGTGCACTCACAGGTGAAACGCAAACACCCTTTCAGCTGCAGCAGTTAGCCAGTATGGAAGCCTGGCTCTTCTGTAAAGGAAGTTCCTTGCTGTTGACACTACTTGCCACGTTGCCCACTTATTTATTTGTTTGCTTTGTATTACCCTTTTTATTAAGACTTTGGGGTGAGGAGGAAAACCTTTAGAACCAATTTAAGTTACAAATCTTTCATTGTGACTGACAGCAGGTAAGTTCTATGGATGATTGTGCTGCTTGTTCTGTCCTGTTTGGCTTCCGTCATCTCAGAAAAGACAGAATTCAGTGTTTATTGCAGTTCTAGCTAAGCCATTGAATTTAACCCAGAAATGAATTTTGCTGCATGGTCAGGAGCTGGTTGTAGGCTAGCAGATAAGGATCTCCTAAAAAGACTGTTTACATTTCAATTGTCCTCACAGGCCCACGGTGTCTAAAATAAAGCTGCTAAAAATCTGCCACTGGGGTGAAGATGAAAACCTAGGGCTTAGGTGTCCACTATGGAGTGTACAGATTAGATATCCTATCCAAGGTCCTCTTGGTCTTCTCAAGCTCCTACACAACCTTCAGTCAAAAGCTTAGATATCACTGTTTGTTTTGAAGGTACTGTGCTAGTCTTCTAGTTTCACTTAGTAAAACGTAGCCCATAATTATGAATATCACTGCAAACTGGTGATGTATACCTTATGCTATTGACAGTTATTTTCTTTAAAGATTCTCACATGGTTACTTGCTGTGCCGTGTGGGGATTTTAAATGGGCAAAAGGAAGATGCAGATGTGGTCCCATCTGGTGCGCCCTGGTGCTTTGGCATCAGTGGTACAAAGAGACTATAGACCCTATATGCAGAACGAGATGGGACGCAGTGCGGGGTCTCGCAGCTCTGTTAGAAGCCATGGATGAGGGGGAAGCAGGTTACAGGCTCTGAGTAGGCCAGAGTGAGTTAGAACTGAGCACTATGGACTTGCACAGCCTTTTCTGTCACTTTCCATTTTGGCAGCCAAAAGTGCTTTTTGAAGCCATTTTTCTAGCTGCTGATTGATTAAACTGAGGTAGCAAGGAGAGCTTTCTATGCATGCCTGTTTGCTGGATGGCTGGGTATTGCTGAGTTTTCTGGAAGGTGAGTAGAGGGGATATTGAACCTCTCCAAATCAGACTTGTGACTCTTTCTCCTCATTGCCACTGGTGTTTCTGAGGC